GCTGAAAGAGTGCCCTCTGCCTCCAGTGCCTTCTGGCCAAAGATGGGACTCCCCAGCAAATCCTGTCAGCTCTGACAGCCCACCAGGCTGGTTTGAATTTGCCTCCTGAAAGGATGCTCATGGTGCTGGCCCAATTTACTCTGGTCTAAAGGTAACATTCAGGAGGCCCAAAAGGAAAATGTCTTTTATTTTAGCCAAGGCTTAAGTTTTCTATTTTAAAACAGTGCCACAAAAGAAGAGAGTGAATCAAAGTTTGCTTTTGGCTTTCACCAGCCACTCCTTGTCTTCCTGGGCAGCTGGAAGCTGGCCCTGGTGACTGGGTGACCTGCCCATCCCCAGTCACTGCTGGCTCTGCTTGGGCCAGGCTTTTCGCCTGAAATGCCCTTTCATTGCTGGGCTGCCTCACTGCAGCCACAGTGCTGCCAAAACGCGTCTGCTCCCTGCCCAGCGTCCATCCTGCTCTAACCTCCCGTGCCCAGGGGCTGCCTGCAGGAGCAGAGCATCCCACAGGGATGCCGTGAGCCCGCAGCAGCAGCCGCCTGCATTGCTTGTTCCTCCTTACCGCTCTAGCAATCCCTGCTGTACTGTAATCACACAATTATTATGCCATTAAAATGTCATATTCGCAGAAATCCACATAAACAAGGCATTAGCAGTTGCCAGAAAATTGTAGTTTTACTGCTAATGACCCACTTTCCCCCTCCAGCACTGCTCCTTTTTTAAAAAAAATTTATTTTTTCCCTTTTTTTCTGTGTGTTTCTGAGCTGTGATTTAAGAGGCAGATGACGAATAACATCTTTGTACCAAGAGGCTTTCAATCCTTAATGTACAGTTACAGTGAAAAGCTGCCTCTGTGCTTGCTCTGGGCTGTTTACCCTTTCTCAGTGAGGTGGTGGGTGGTTTTGGGAGAGGTGCCTTTAGTGAGATACCAGGGAAAGCTCTTGGTGAGCCCTGCTCTTAGCTGAGTCTTGGTGTCCTCTCTGTAATGAGATTTGTCCATGCCTTTTGCCTGGTGGGGATCCCTCTTGTTGACCACCCTGGAGACCCCTGCAATATGGTGTCAGAAGAGGCAACACTTGTTTGCCAAGAGTGGACAGCTACCCCTTGGATATATTTTTCCTTCCTTTTCTTCAGACTCCTCGAGTCTCTCAAACTCTTTTAAGCATTGACTGTGTTTCCTGTAATTAATACCAGCCATTAAACTGCAGTGTTGAAAGAAATTACTTAATTCCAAGAAAAAAAATGAAAATTTATTTCTAGTACATGAGAGAAAATGAATATGAAACTTGGAGAGATGAACCCCTTAGAAGATAAATAGAAAGGCAAGTGGAGTATTGACTTGATCCTTTACTAGTGCAGGGTAATTTGGCCTCTAAAGTGAGTTAGATCATAATAAATTAAATTTAGATTTCTGCACATCAGTTAAATAACTCCCAAGACAGACTTCTGGTGTGAGGAAGAGGAAAATGGCTGAAATATTACAATGAAGACCTTATCTGGTAACCTGTAACTGATGTGCTGTCCCTGGGTGAGCAAAGGGGATTCCTCCTGATGCTTTTAACTACCATTCCCTGACCCTGATCAGGTGCTGAGAAACAAGTGAGTCCCTGTGCACAGGTTAGTGAGGTTTCCTGCTTCCCACTGCTTGCATAGCTGGGAGATTTTCATCTGTGGATGCCACTACACTTGTTTTCCCTCTCTGCTTTGCACAGGTATTTTTTTGCAGAAGTTGTCATGCAAGTGTGTCTGAGCATCCTCAGCTGGGAGCATGGGAGATTCAGACTGAATGTTAGGAAAAACTTTCACTGTTAGGGTGGTCAGGCACTGGAATACATTGCCCAGGGAGGTGGTGGAGTCACCATCCCTGGAAGTGTTTAAGAGGCATCTGGATCTGGCGCTGGAGGATATGGTTTAGGGCTTAGGGGTTATGGCAGAGTGGCAGGTTAATGGTTGGACTTGGTGCTCTTAGAGGTTTCCTCCAACCTTGGTGATTCTATTGATCCAGCTCTGATTTCGGTTACCCTTGCAGGGAGGCTTGGGACGGAAAGAACACTCAGATGACTGGGCAGGTGATGTGGATTAAAAGCGAATGACCAAACCTGGGTATCTGCTTCTAGCTGTGAAAGTTAACCCAATCCCTGAGCTTGTCTTGTGGCCAGGTAGGGATTAAAATAACTCTTTAATCTCTGGCATCTAGTTGCTCTTGATCTCAGGTGTGTATTTAACTACCCAATATTTAGGAATAATCTTACTGATAGCTTACTTCAACCTGAAATGAAGAGCTTGGGTGAACCAAGGTGGACTGATGTCTTTCAGGTGATTTCATGGGAGTGCTCGTTATTCACTGGAGAGTAAACCAAGAATGGATATACCTTGGGTGCATGGTGTATCCAGGGCAGAATAAGAAGCAAATGCCATGGGATAAGACACTGATATTTGTCCATGTATCCATTTACTGCTGGGACTCCCCAGTAAGAGGACATAAGTGGGGAAACTAGTTGGGGAAATGCCATTCCAACCCTTGAAGGACATGCTGGGACCCTGCCATGTGCTAAACATCTGCTTCTGCTGCCTGGCCAGAGCCTTGCTGCCCTTGCAGCAGCTGCAGAAGCTCCAGTTTTCCTGGAGCTGTGGCTGCCTGAAGGAATCCACCAGCCCTCCTACCTGAGCCATCAGATTCTTGCCGATCTGCACCCTTCTAGCTGATCCAAAGCTATTGGGTTAAACTGGCGTTAAAAAATATATTTATATACACACACATCCAACAGCCTCAAGTACTGTGTGGCTGCTTTTAAAAGCCATTTCTTTTCTTATTAAGTTTGATAAAACCAACTTTTATTTATCTTCACAGCATTAAAGTTTAGGGACTGCAACTCTGTGGCAGTTGTTTTAGCGGTGCCAGGCCTCCTGGGGTCATCATGAAATCTTACAAACATTAGGCTGTCAGTGGCTCTGTGATGCAATTGGCTCACTTTTCCCTGATCTTTTACTGTGGTTGTAAATCATGTTTTGCAAAATGCTTAGAAAAAAACATAAACAGTATTTATCACCCTGTACATTTCAGTTCTCCCAAAAGTCCACAAACGGGTGACGTACATCTTCCTTATAAACCTCCTGCAGTGACCTTACTAGTTTCATAACTTCTCCCAGCTTTGGTTAACTTTCTCTTAGTCCTGAATAGCTTTCTCCCAGTACAGCTGGTGGCTTAGGTTCCACACTGGGGTAAATGCTGGAGGAGCTCCTGAGAAGGCCACACCAGGGGAGGATGAATATGACCCTTTATCTGGAAACCCCTGCAGCCCTGGGCTTTGTTGGCTTCTTGGGAGTGGTCATGTCACTATAACCCAGAGCAGTGTGAGGAATCCTGTGGTTGGAGGCACCTGTCTTGGTCCTGCTATGGTTCACTTGCAGGAGCTGGTGCTCCCTCCTCCCCTTCCTATGACTACAGAAAATGCACTGCCAGATGCTAGTAAAATCAATTACAGGATAAAAATCACCCATTTCAAAAGCTTCATTTTGCACTATTAGCAGGCAAAATCTGCTTTGAGATGGTGTGAAATGAGGAGGGGGGAAAAAAAAGAAAATAAGGAGAAAAGATCAATTATTGGATAAGATCACAATTTTCTTTCGGGCTGAGATGTCTGTAAATGTTTGCATCTCTCTGTGTTACAGGTAGGCTGAGATCAAAGAGGTTGTGCTGCTGTAACGATGAGATCTTATCGATGCTGTATTATGCTGGTTGGCTCAGGCACTGCCAAAGGATGCTTAAACCTCCTGACAGCATCATGCTGCTGTGGGATGCTTAAACCCCCTGACTGCACTAAGCCACCAAGAGACACTTAAACCCCCTGATGGTTGTTGGAGCTGTCAAGTAACCCTGAAATGCAGCTCCTCCATCCTTCTGGAGCAGGGGACTGCATGGGCACATACTTGCCTGCTCTTTTATCTGTGATAGGGCTGAAGTTCTCAGTGGGGGACACGTTGTGGCAAAGATGGACTGAAATTGTGCTGGGAGAACAATGGCCCCCTTCTTCCAGGGTCCTGTAGCTGGAGCTGGCCCTGCAGCCTGGCTATGGCTGTGGAAATGTGGGAGTCTACTTGATGAAACTGCTTCTCTCTGATGGCCCTTTCCAGCTTGAAGGGTTACAGGGATGATGGGGCATGTGATGTGAGATACCTTTGGTTTTGGCTGGAGAGAAATTAAAACTCTTACAAAACCTTTGTGCTTTTATATTTCTTGAGACTGTGCTGTTTGAGAGGAGGATCCACCAGAGACCTGAATTTGGTTTCAAAATCGTCATTTTAAATTCAAATTGGCAGGCTCTCTTTGATACAGTGTTTCAGGACACAAGGGAAAATAGTAAACCCTGAAATCCTAATTCAGCCTGCTCTTGCCATGCTTGCAGGGCTGACCAACCTCTGGCAGGGTTTAGGAGAGGACTTCTGGAGTGGAGTTGGGTGTCCTCCGGTCTCTCCTCCCTCTGACGGGGCTGACTTTGTGTGCGCAGGAATCGGACGTGGAGTGGGACGACCTTTGGGATCAGTTTGAAGAGCGGAAGTACCTGAGTGCCCGGAGGTGGAAGGGCGGCGAGGACCCGTACCGGCTCCATGCCTTTAACCAGCGCGAGAGCGAGAGGATCCCCAGTGACCGCGCTGTTCGTGACACCCGCCATCACAGGTTCTGCCTCCCCCTGGTTTCTCCTGACCTTCCTCATGAAACTTCATTATATGGGTGGATAGTCCCATTCCTCTTCAGGGCTGTGGCTGTGGGATGCTAGGTGGGTCTGGACCCTTTGCCCATGCCCAGTGGGTGCACTTGGGATTGGTTCTGCCTGGATCGTATTTCTGGGATTGAATCGTTCACTTTGCTTGTTTCTTGGCATGTCTGGAAGTCTTAAATGTGTTAATTAAAACCTGTATAAATTATTCCAGGACCATAGGGAAAAAAAGGAAAGGCCTTGTTTTCTACCTTCAGAAAAGTAATGGGTGTGCAGTAGCACATCTCAATGAGCAAAGTCTTCACTGGTGCTGGGAACCCTTGCTCTGCAGATGAGGCAGTGAAGTGGTGCAAGGGGGCTAAAATAACTGTTGAGCATTGATTTTGCTCTGCAGAGAGAAGAGTGGGAGTAAGGGACAATTGCTGAGTGAGTGGGAGAGGAAGGTAAGAACTTGTTGAATTACTAGCTACTCCAGCACTACTGAGGTCAAAAATATCCTTCGGCATTCAAAGGACCTCTTGGGAGAGGCAAGGAGGATTTCAACAAGGGTTGCCTTGAAGGCAGACCTGCAGTGCCTTGTCAATGTGAGAAGCGCAGGATGGGAGTTTTGGTGCACCCTTGCTTGCTGAGAGTGCAGCTGTAGCCTCCCTCTGGGGAAGGGAGCTACAGCTCCCCTCATCAGGGAAGAGCTGCCCTTCATGGCTGCAGGTTGTTGATGGGGTTAACTGTTAGTTTGCGGGATGGAGTGATGCAAGGGTGTCCCACTGGTGAAAGAAATGCTGTCAAGGTTCCCTCAATGCATTTTTCTCCTTGTCTTCTGAGAACACAGCATATGCTTCGCTTCCATGGTCAGTTGCCAGCCCACAGCTGGTGGAAGCCCTTTCCAATGAGCTGTGCCTGGCATTATTTCCCAACTTGCTGACAGCAGCCATCCTCTACTGGCTTCTCCTGGGAGCTCTTTAGGGGAAGTCCTGCTCTGTGCTGGACCCAGCCGCAGCACCTTGCTGCCCATGCTGCACTTTGCTCCCAGATCAGAGTGACTCCATTGGCATCTGACCCAACCCTGAATTTCCCCTTTTCCAGTTCAAATGCAGCACTGAAATGCTGAAACAGCATCAGTTCTCCAGCCATGTAGCAAGCAATGTGTTTATTTGTTTATTTAGCTTCTTTTTGTAGTAAGGACCAGATGCTCCTTTCTACAGAGAGGAGCTGTCAGCCCTGATGGACGCTTGTTATAGCTGAGCAGAGAGTGAGTGTGCTATTCCTGGAGAGAATTAATGCCAGGGATATTAACCATCTGCCCTATTGAAAAAGAAGATCATCTCAGCTGTCCCCTCACCGTATCCTCACTGTGCAGTGGCAGCCACCTTGTTCCTGGGCAGGCAGATGCAGCACTGAGTGCTGCGAAAGAAAAGTTCTCATTGAGGAGGAAGTGAGGGCACAGCACGTAGGAGAGGCTAGGGTTAATTTAATTTGTTTCCAATTTCCTAAACCTGGTAATTGGATTCTGATTTATTGAATATCTCTGAAGAATGCTGAAGATGATACACCATTAACTGAGCATTAGAGTGGCCACAGAGGAAATAGGGCTGTTGAGAGATCTGGGGGAGGCAGGCACTGATGGGGCATATGGAGGAGGGAGAAGGGTCTGGGATTGGTGGCTGAGGGAGAGAGGAACACACAGAGCTGAGCCCTCTCTGGAAAGATAATCTTGCTTATGACACTGGGAGCTGCCACAGGAGATGCTCAGGCACTACCATGCAACCTGGAAACTGGTCTTGAATTGTCCAGCAGAACTGTGTGGGAAAGCATGGATAAGCATGACCTGGTCTTGGAGCAGGGAGAAATTGCTGATGACTGTGCAAGAACATATACAGAGAATCAGCATGGGATTGACTAGGAGATGTCTCTCCTGTGAAGGGAAGAGCAAGTTCAGTGGGTCAGGCTGTTGTGGGAGAAAAGACACCCCCAGGGCTCATGCTGCATGACCTACTAGAGGCTGTTTTTAGAGGCTTGGTTTCATTGAAAAACCTGGATTAAGCTGCTGGATGCAAGCCAGACTGGCAGTTCTTAGGCTTCCTGGTTTGAGAGCAAACCCAAAAAGTTGGACCTTGATTCTACTCCAGATGACTTTGGAGGAAGGTGTATCCTGATCCCACACTAAGGGGTACCACCATGCCAAGGGGCTCCTGCCCAGCTCACATAAGGGATTAAGTGCCTCACATGAGGGGTTAAGAGGCTTTGGAAAGGGTCTCACCCGTCTCTTCTGCTCATCCCCATGGTCAAGCAGGTTGTCCTTCAGCCTCTCAGTCAGATGTTGTTGCCCAAAGCAGCTTGCTCTGCTCTGCTTTCCAGTGTGTTGGCTCTCCATCCTTTATCCCCTCTGTATGACATGTGGCAGCGCTGAGACACAAGGACCTGCAGACGACGGTAATGCCCTGAGACCTGCACCTTATAGTCCTGATCCTTGGGGCTGGGATGTGGGAATGCTGCTCCTTAGAGCTTCTCTGTGGGGTGTTTTTCATTAGGGTGGTTGCAGAAGATTTCCTGGAGTTTTCTTTGCTAAGCCAGCCAAGCATCTGGACTTGCCAACAATAGCTGAACATACAAAATCTGGCAAGGACTGAGCAGCAAGCTCCTTGCCAGAAGGTCATGGAGAGGGCAAATACTTTTGATGGGATGGGATGTGGCACTGACAGCCAGTTGCTTAGCAATGGTTGCTGGATTGATCTTGTTTTTAAATTGCAGCCAGTGGAATAGTTTCAGATGGAGAGGAATTGCAGTGCTCCAAGGAATCAGAGCAGGAGAAACCGTGGTGGTTCTTCGCCTGCCTCTGGCTATTGTAGGGCTATGAACTTGTGCTTGGTTTGTGGGTGATTTCAGCCGGGGCAATGTCATGCCTTCTGTGGACTACCTTGTGTCCCTGGGCCTGAGAGATCTCACAGCTGGAGCATTGCTCCTGGTGGCCCTCTTGCATTTCACTGCCATTAACTCCATTCCTGGTTGCACATTGACTAAGCCCTTGGACCATGTAAAGGGCTGCCTTTCTCCAGGAGAGGACCTTGATGGTCCTCTGGTGGCAGATCCCATCTGCACCAAGAATCAAGGTTAAAAAATCCCTGTGACTGCATCAGCAGACTGGACCTGGATCTTGGTGGTGCATCTGCACTGTGCACAGCCAGCTTATGCCACTGGAGTGGGTGGCTAGTCCCCCTCCACCATGGTAGCCACATGCTATTGGGATTACCTCATTGCCACATCCCACCTTCTACAACTCTCACAGGCAAACCAGACGACCAAAACAGCAACGAATGAGTCAGTGCCAGGCGTATGCATGGGGGGTGAGAGGAGCTGAGGTTTCCAATATTGCTCAGCGGCTTGGAAAGCCAACAGGGAGGATGTGTCGCCCCCAGCCAGAAGATTTTGTCATGATGGTTCCTGGGCTTTTTCCATCTGTGGCAGACAGCTCCTGGGGAGGCTGGTATTCACCACGCGGTTGTTCCACATGCTGCTTAGGTTGACCTCCGCCTCCCAAATGCTCTGTTGGGTTTGATAGATGTGCAGATGCTGTTGTGGCTGCCAGGCTAGGCTGGGACCACGAGTCCCGGCCAGCACCAGCCTGAGTGGAGGTTTGTGCTGGTGGATGTCAGTGAAGCAGAGAGGTGAAATCAGGGACAAGGAGAGTAGATGAGAGGCTGGAGGAGAGGTGAGATGCTTCAGCAGACTTCTGTAGCTATTGCAAATTATGTCAGCTTCAGGCATCTCCCACTGTCTGTTTTCCTCTATTCATCTTGTTTTTTACCTCCATGGTGCTTATATTTGTTTAGTAGTGCTGTCTTGAGCTGACAGAGCAACAAGGCCAGGGATGGAGCCCTCTCAAATTCTAGCATGAGTCTGGATTTTTGAAGTTCCCTCCCACCCTGAGTCCAAAGTGCTTTACAAGAGCTCCTACCTACCCAGCTGAACTTGAATTTTACATGTACTTAAGGGATCTGTTTGTGTGAGTATATGTATGTCTGACATAGAAAGCAGCTGCTAAAATCAAGTTGTGATTGGACCACGTGGCAGGGGTGCTGCAGATAGGAGGATCAGGCATTGCATTGTCTGCTGAATATGAGAGCATCCTGGCAGCCCAGAAGCCAGGTCATGCCAACTTTTGCCCCTAGAAAAATTCTGCCCTTGTAGTCTATCCCATTCCCTTTGCAGGGAACAACATACACTGTAAGATTTCCTCCAGGTTTCTTTGCTCAAATCCCTGTGCAGTGCCTGCTGGTAGGTGTCTGTTGGGTAGGAGAGCTGCCCAGGGCTGGTTGCTCTGCACATATGGACTGTTCATGGAGGGATGGGAAGAGCTAGGTGATGCCTGTGATGGTCCTGTGGGGCAGAGACCTACTGTCTTCTGTTCTCAAGGTCCAGAAATGTCAGGATTTCAGCCCTCAAGCAGGAGCATTACACACTGCAGTATTGTTTTGACCTATTAACTTCAGCGTGCATCCCAAGGGTGCACAGCTTGCACATTCAGTGTGATGATGGCGCAGCTGTAGTTGAGGTAGTCAAAGAAACCTGACTGTGCTGTGCATGGGGATGACTGGGAAGAACACATCGTCCTGAGGGTCAGCTCTGTCGTGTGTGGTACCTGCATACATAGGGACATGTGGCTAAATGTGCATCTCTGCTGCTGCACACCTTCCACATGTCCCGTGTGAACACATTTGGGATGCGGCACGTGAGAGCATGTGTTGATGTCCGTGTGCAGATTGCGAGATGGTGGTTGTGTTGCATGAAGGTTTTGAAGTGGCTCCATTTTTGGATGAGTTGATGATTGCATCCCAGGAGTGGCAAGCAGTCAAGTGCACTGAGAATCTTGTCATATCTTCTTGGAAGTGAAGAGTCGAAGAGAAGAAAAGCAGATTTTGACAGCACTGCCTTTGGTTTAGCATGTTTATGATCCCCTTGGGCT